CTCCTCGAACCTCCTACTCGATCCTCTTCCTCGATCCTCTTGGCTGTTTCCGGTGCACACGCGCGCAGCTCCCGACGTCGCAGGGCTCGCGCAGCGCGCCGAGGCCCTTCGGGGCCGCCCGAGCACCGGCCGCCGGCGGCGTCAGCCCGGGCCCATGGGCGCGAGGCTCGACGCCACGGGCATGGGCCCCTGGCGGCGGCGGCGACGGCGGCGGCAGCGGCGGCGACGATGCCGACGGCGGCGACGATGCCGACGGCGGCGGCGGCGGACGGCGGCGGCGGCGGCGGCGGCGGCGACGATGCCGACGGCGGCGACGGACGGCGGCGGCGGCGGCGCCGACGGCGACGGCGGCGACGGACGGCGGCGGCGGCGGCGGCGACGACGGCGGCGGCGACGACGGCGGCGACGGCGACGACGGCGGCAGCGATGGCGGTGGCGACGATGGCACGACGCCACGGGCATGGGCCTCTGGTGGCGGCAGCGGGGCCGAGGACGATCGAGCAGGATCCAAGATCGAGAAGAACCGAGAGGGCAGAGGAGGAGGAGGAGAAGCATCGAGGACCAGTGCAAACCCAAGATGCACCAACGAAGTTGCAATAATCCCTCCGTCCACATTTCTTCTTCATAGGCCCCTACAAAATTCATTTCCACTAAAGCAAGTGCCCCATTGGAACACAGCCGTTTGAAAATCCGCCGGCCCCCTCGTGGGGCCACCAGGCTGTAGGCCGGAGGCTTCCAAGTTCCACTGTTACAGTTCTGCTTCTTGCTGCTTGCTGTTCCCTGTTGACTTCTTGCTGCTTACTGTCCCTTGTTGATGGACCGCGCGAGGGGGGGAGGCCCAAAACGAGCATTTCTACCACGCCCAAATCGTATTGTCTGAATTGCTGGGGTGGGTAAAAATTCACACCCCTCACACAGATCGGCGGGGTCAGGGTCCGAAACCACTCAGGATTTGCCACTTTTCTGAAATCGGGCGGCACCCCTCACGCAGATCCGTAGGGTCAGGGTCCAAAACGCAAAGGATTTGCCACTTTTCTGAAATCCGGTGGCACCCCTCACGCAGAACGGCGGGGTCAGTATCCAAAAACACATGGGATTTGCCACATTTCTAAAATTCGGTGACTCCCCTCATGCAGATCGGCGGGGTCAGGGTCCAAAACACAGTGGGTATTTGCCACATTTCTGAAATTCGGTGGCACCCCTCATGCAGATCGGCGGGGTCAGGGTTCAAAAACACACGAGATTTGCCACATTTCTGAAATTCAGTGGCACCCCTCACGCAGATCGGCGGGGTCAGGCTGCAAAAACAAAGAGGATTTGCCACATTTCTGAAATTCGGTGAACCCCTCACGCAGATCGGCGGGATCAGGGTCCAAAAACACATGGGATTTGCCACATTTCTGAAATCCGGTGGCACCCCTCACGCAGATCGGCAGGGTCAGGATCCAAAAACACATGGGATTTGCCACATTTCTGAAACTCGGCGGCACCCCTCACACAGATCGCCAGGGTCAGGGTCCAAAAACACATGGGATTTGCTACATTTCTGAAATTCGGCGGCACCCCTCACGCAGATCCGTAGGGTCAGGGTCGAAAAACAAACAGGTCCCGACACTGCTTCACGGCGAAGCCAAAGCCTCATGACTTCGCTCTTCCATGGCCCATTCTCTGAGAGAGGGGGCCGGCGACGGGGCGAAGCCCTTACGGATCATGAACTGGCCAGATCACGCTTCCTGGGACTTCAACGCCGCGAATCATTGTTACTGTTGCGTCTTGGCGAACCTGGATCGTGCGAGAACGCCATTCCTGGGACTTCAACACCGCGAATCAACGTGTTGCGCCCTGGCAGTCCGATATCATGCCGAAAAACCATTCTGGGACGCGCTCGCCATGAGAATCCTCCAAACCGCTGAAACTGTTCAAAGTGAATATATGCGCAACACTGCGGCCAGAACCACATTGTGAAAAGGAACCGCCCTCCATCCATGAAACTATTGCACATGTTTATAGACGAATGTTCGCCACACGAAGGAGAATACCACATTTTGAAAGCCAATCGCCCTCCATCCGTGAAGCCCTTGCAGACTTCGAAAACGCATGTATGCAAGAATCGCGCTCTCGTGTGGCACCTCCTGGAAATGTATCCAGACGCCGCGCCCTCGACACTCGGCAATCACGCTCTCGCTCTGACCTTTCTCACGATTTGCTTGGGAGTCGCGCTATCGCTCGAGACTCCCTCGCAATTCATGAAGGACTCGCGCCTCAGCAACCCGCCTGCTCGAGCCGGCCACCTGGGCTCGCCTCTCCGACCCGCCCGCGAGGGTCTGCACACCTGCCCGGCCCATCTGGTTCTGCGACGTGCTGTCTCCTCCTCCTCCTCCTCCTCCTCCTCCTCCTCCTCCTCCTCCTAGCCCCCCTCCTCCTCCTCCTCCTCCTCCTCCTAGCCCCCCTCCTGCAAATCTCTCTATTGCTCCACCCTTCTCCCTCCCCCTTCCATCCA